GTGTACACGATGGCGTCCTAAGGAAAAGTAGGGTTGAAAGGGTCGACGGACTACTTGAACTCAGCCCTTTACCGCCTCTGCGCTCTCTAGCGGGTCCCTCTCCTCTCCAAGGCTTAGTCCTAGGGCATTCTCTAATCGTCTGTGCTCTAGCACTATCTTCTAATGCCATTGAATTCGACGAGACCAACAGACAATGCAAGGTAACTTTCTTTCTACTACGTATCCGAGGAACACTGACTTGGACGGCTGGCCCCCGCAAGTCATTGTATAGGCCACATCGCATTCAAACGCCACTACGAATGTACAAATGGAAGTAGAATGCGTGCCGCATCCCAAAAAGGGATTGATCAACGGCAAATGCTTTATCCTTTATCCTTTTATCCGAGGAGAGCAAATGGTTTTTTTCGTCCAAGCTAAGCAATGCCCAATGCAAAGCGGACTTCCACCATATCCAAGCATGGCATTTTACGAACAGGAGAATATAGTGGAACAAAAACCAATCTTCAACAATCTACACGCATATCGCAAATAGGCGCTTCCGAAGCCAGTGATGAAGCCTTAATCTCAATGAAACCTCACTTTGGAAGTGTCACCTTCTAAATCAATATCAATCTAGGAATGAGCAGCTGCTTAATATGCATTTATGCGCTGTGGCAATTACAATCTGCTATTTCTAAATGGGACAAGAACGCTTTTGTTAATGGTGCAGAATTTGACGAAGAATCATAGAAGACAATCCAGAGATAAAACATAAAAAATAATAGTTTTGAGAAGCATCGGGGCAGTATAAGACACCAAAACTGTTAAAGGAACAAAGAAGAACAAAAAGGACATTGGCGTTCGCTTTTAAGTGCTTCAAGCATGGACCCACTACAAAGTTTGCCTAATACATTACCCTAGCCTTTGAATACAATATATGTTTGCTTCCCATCATATGCCTTTTTAATGCTCCGAACCTCTTCAGTCCTGTCTGTGACTCATCATCCCATTCATTCCCTCTTTTCCTTTCTCAGGAGAAAATCCCCATTGAAGTCTGTCACTGCTATGTAATAGTCACGGTTTATTGAGTTTACCTTCACATCGATGTCGAGAAAGCCTCCTTCTGCTACTTCAAACATGAGACCAATTTTTGTTCCAGATATCACACGATCGAAAAAGCACTGCTCCTCATTTGCATCGATATTAATGAAATATGCAGATGCAGTAGATGTGAGGAGAGCGAACAGTGCCACGCTATACCACATTCTGTACCCAAACCCTAAATAATAAAAAACCGTTGAGTGAGAAAACAAAAAGAAGTCAGATCGTAAAACGAATGAAGAAAAGCTTTGAGCACTTCAAACAGCACACCCCCCAGGTGTATCTTCAAAAGTTACACAGGCTTTTCTTTTGATGGCAAAAACACGAGACCAGTAAATATCGTTAAATCTTTTGAATTGAAATGCGCCGCCAAAAAAGGATTGACCAACGACAAATGCTTTCTCCAAGATAATTTACAAAGTACAAGAAGAAGTAATCAGAATACAGTGGATCAAGAGAATACAACCATGCAGGTAAACTTGAATTGGGATCTCGAACTTGGGCAATGACCGAACAGAAGAGTTCAAAAAATCGCTACTGACACATCATAGTTTGGAAAGGAGAGCGCTAAAAAGAAAGAGCTAATGGAACACAGAGGTAGTTTTGGTCTCTGGAAAATATCAAACATATTCTCGGACAGAAAACAATCAAACTGTGGGAAAAAACGAAGCGCAACCACCTAGCGGTAATACAAAACGCATTTGACAGCAATTGATCCAAAAGGTTTACGTGTATTTCTACAGTATCCAAGTTTTGGCCTTGGAGCGCGCCTGCGATGGCGCCCTTTAAACACGTTTTGTGGAGGCAGGTGGCTTCTCCGAAGTGTTTCGGGAAGGTGATGGGGCTTCGTTTGAGGTGTCCTATGTCAATATTTTGCACAATCATAGAGAGCAATAAGTTTTCAATAGATTTCAATTGGAATTCCACGATTCAGTTGGTTTATTGCGAAGTTTTAAGGTTTTTGAATTCAGTTCTAGAAATAGTTCTCATTAAAGATGATGAGGTAAATCTAATCACATGTGGAACGGCTGCTCGACATTCAAAAGATGTTCAATCGGCTTCAATCACTATGGAAACGCTATCATTGACTTCATTTTTGAGGTACTTATCACTGGAAGCGTATATAAAGGCTTTGCGGTGAGGTTAGGGCCATTTTAGTATTCATATGTTCTAGCGATCTCCTGGGTTTGCCACGGAGTGTCTGCTACATGACCGACGTTTTCAGGAAGAATCAACGGTACTTGGCTGACGGATCCAGTTTTCTCGCGCCCAGGTGCCACTACTGCTGTTCAGACGAACTCGGACAAGCCAGTGAGCAGAGAAGCAGGGTTCGCGAGAGAGAGACGCAGAAAAACTCTGCGCGCTTCTTCCGGAGGACTTGGCTATTCTCTGTCTCTCTAACTCCTGCCTCTGCGTCTCTGCCATGGTCAGAGTCCTATTGTACCGATGATTTTGCTAACTAACGCTGATTTCAGAATGGGAGGATTTCATGAAAACCGGCTTATTCGATGTGTACGAGAACGGGAGAAGGAGATCAGAACGAAACACGTGGTCACTGATGTCGGAGGGAAAACTCCATCACAAGATATGAAGGTGAAGAAGGCTCCGAACTGGAGGTCCCCCAAGTGAAATCGCGTTGTTTCAGGTAGATCGCTGGTTTCTGACGAGATTCTCCATCGAAAACGCCTATGGAGGATTGTGTGAAGAGTTCTTCTCATTAGATGGCGGACCGAGTGCGTGGGAAACTCAAACCGGCAAAGGAAATCCGTTCATTGCGACACCACTCGGAGGAAACACCAATCGCCAACTTAAGGTTAGTATGAACCGTAGTAAGGTTCGGCCATAGTTCGCGGGAGTAGAAGACTCAAAATCGATAACCATCCTTATCACACCCTATCAATTTTACACGTCTAGACAAGAATCTGTTGGGAGGTGTCGGTTCATTTAGGGAAGCAATCAATCCGTATCTATAGGACGTGAAGTCCATCCAATAGATACGTATTGACTGGCGCCAATCTTGTAGCATGGTGCAAATCTTGTAGTATGGTGCAACGGCAGCAGTACTCATGTCGTTGAGAGGGGGGGGGGGTGAGAGAGAGGGACATTCAAGTTAGTGAACCATTTACCCTTGGAACGAAACCTCACGGAAGGGAAAGTGGCTCCTGAGGAAGGATGTGAGCAGGTTGTGTTCTCTAGCGTTTCTCCCTCCCCTGGGCTAGTCTTGTTGGACTACCAACGACCGGTTGAATAGTTCCCCCCCCACCCAAGTGCAATGATCGCCACGGCAGCCATACAACAGATGCGATATTATGGCAACCTCTGGCTCTGACAAGCGATGAGCCACAGTGGAGATTTCTCTGATTAGTCTTTGCTTTGATGGAATAAGAGACTTTGTGGTTAGGAGCATGGGGGATGGAGCGGATAGTGTTCTTGAGGTTAGGGGGCGGAGTTGGACGTGTGTCACATAGTACCAGATTTGGCGAAGCTGTAGACACTATCGGCTAACAGGGCAGGGTGTCGTAGTGAGGGTTCTAATTCCTAGTGGGGAAGAGCGAAAAGGGGTGGAATTTAGGGAATAGGGGAAGGGAGTCGTCGTATTAGTTTCTCCTCGACAAAAAGCTCACACTGCTTTGACTGACCGTCAACGATGTTGCAGTTTTTGTGGCAAGGGTTACGATGCATATTTGATCGATTTTTCAAATTTTGCGCTACATTTCATACATGGCCTACTTGATAGCTCGGTGGTTATAATAGTGGTAGAAGATACTAGGATATAATTAGGGGAGGGAGTTGGGGGGGGAGGGTTACCCGTAAGCAGGCGTCAACTTTACGTCTCCAATTTCGGAACCTTGACAACTCCTCCCGTTAGGTAAAGGGGATATCGTACGTACCATTGCTCCCTTCCAGTTTTTTTTTGTAGGCAACCCCCTCCCTCTTTTTCACGATGGCTGGATGGAGGGAGGGCTCAAGAGCTTACAGTGGGAAGTTTGGCGGGATTGGACAGTCGTACGGACCAGAGGATGTTGCTTAAAATTCGCTTTTCCCATCGGTATACATACGTTCCCCATCCCCCCCCCTCCCCCCAGCGTTGACTGCGTAGACAATTTTTTTGAAACTCTGACGGAGAGGCGAATGGAAATTTCCCCGTAGTGGTAGGCAGTGTCAACCGTCGCCTTCGCCTTTTTCCAAGAATTTAGCGACACCCTCCCTTCAGGGGGTCTTGATGCGACCTCACACACCACCAATCAGTCTTTTGAAGCTCTTTCACTGACTCCCTTCCCCTACCCTGATTAGCACCTTCGCCTTCATGGCTGTTCCTATGGCATTGAGACCAGACACAGCCAACTCCGCCCACTTCTCCTCTAAAACGGCAAAATAGGCGTCGAGCGTGGGTTTGGGGGAGGGGTTTGGTTGGTACAATGAAGCAGCACATGCAATCGCATGAATCTCAGAAAGAGAAGCCTCCTTGCACCTCTTCTTACAACGAGCTTCGCACTCTTTCCAGATTTGGTTTCCCTGTTCAGCTCCAAATGCGACCCCCTCCCCTTTCCCGAAATCACATATGCGACTCCCTCATTCGAATAGTGCGAACGAACGATTTGGTGGCAGATCCACTGACAGCAATTTATTGACATTGTTGACCATAGGGAGGTGGCAGAGGTTTGGAGGAAGTTCTAGGGATTTGGGAGGGCTTATAGGGGACGTAACAGATGGTACTTTCATGTAGGGAGGATGGAGTTGGAAGAGGATAGGGTCGTCCTGGGTCGGCGAACAGGTCACATATGTGCTCAAATATTTCTAAACTTTCACCACTTCCCTAGACGAAAGCTCGGCGCACATGTCGTTGGGGGGGGGGGGGGGAGGAGACACCCATATGAGCTAGCCATTTATTGTGCTCTGGACTGAGTCTTAGGAAGGAGAAGGGATCTTGGGGAAGCATCTGGACAGTTTGGGTTCTCCCTAGCGTTTCTCCCATTATGCTGGGCTTAGCCCTGGTCACACCTACCATTGGCCCTGTTTGAATGCACCCCCCCACCCCCCGGAAAACGATTGGAGTGCTGGAAGCTCTTGTCATAGTTATAAAGCCATATTGTTCATCGAAAAACGGAGCCTACCTTCAAAAATTCAAATGTGGAAATCTCTGGGAATTTTCGCACGTTTGTCAGCAGTTCATGTTGCGCTATTCCTGAATACTACATATCCGCCCCCCCCCCCTTCCACCAAGCGCCTCTATTCGTGATGTTACTTAGTGAGCCGTGATTTTCTTGACGCTACGAATTGTTCAGCGCTACCATGCGTTAGGCCGCGTTCATAGTTCGCGACTCGGGAGATTAGGATAGTAGGCGACAGGATATTAGGATAGTAGTAGAGTAGGAGATTGCGCTGACAAGATTGGATACGTATCGATTGAAATCGCTGGAGAGTAGTAGATTGGGCGACTTCAAGCGAATAGATCAATACATATCTAATCTTGTCGCACTATCCTAATCTACTACTATCCTAATCTCCTACTCTACTACTATCCTACTATCGCAATCTACTACTCTCCGGCGATTTCAATCGATACGTATCTAATCTTGTCAGCGCAATCTCCTACTCTACTACTATCCTAATCTACTACTATCCTAATCTCCCCGTCAATACATATGTTTTTCATTGTCGCGTACTATCCTAATCTCCGGAGTCGCGAACTATGAACGCGGTCTTTCTGTGGAGTTATGTTAACCGGCTGCATCGCGTCTTGCCAAATACATCACCATGACATACGCTGCTAGTTACTTGTTATGATTACGGTAGCTGGTGTTGTGTGTTGCTGATATGATCTTCAGAATGTTAAGATCAATGCCCAACGTGTTGGACCGCTATATCAAGGTGAATATCTGGCCAGCGAGGGACCAACAATGAGCAGTGTGTTTGATTTTTGGTGCATGGTTTGGCAGGTAAGCCGTTTCGTGGGCATTCTTCTTCAAGAACCCGACCTGGAACGGGTTGTTCAGGAAAAGGTGGAACGGATTCTATCAGTGAACTTTCCACATGAGGAACGCCTTTATCCAGCAATATATGATCCATCCAAAGAAACAATACAATATTGGCCGATAGAAATTGGCAAAACTGTTGCTTATATGCCATTTAAAATCACGTGTATTGACACTAGGATGATGGTAAGAAAGTCGCGAGAACAATAACCAGTGCCGTCACGTTGCGAGAACAGTGCAATGCCTCAAATGGTGAGAAGGGAGCGTGCGTACGCGTGCAGACGCGTGCGGATGCGAATGTGTGCGGAAATTTTCACAGAATTGCTGCAGCAAAATAAGGCAGACCAAGTGTTTCTCACCTTCGTGACCCATTCTTCCAAAAATATTAATTTTCAGATATCTCCTGGCATTCGAGCCGTTAAGCCCAACGATATGGTTTATCGAGTGACACAATTACGGATTTCATACTCTAATCCTATCGGCGATCCAGAGCCCGACAGAGAAATCGTACACATGTGTTACTATCGGTCAGTTTGCACGATTTATCCAAACGTTGGCAATTTCAGCGAAATCCCGCCCTTTTCCCTGCGGGTTCAGATACATCGCCGTGACATACATCCCTCATGAGACGCGAAATTTTGCAGGTGGCCTGATGGATGTTTACCAATACCATGGCCTGTGACTACAGCATCATATGCGGCCACAGCGCTGCGAATTATTGATATAGTCGAGAGGGTCAGTTTCAACAGTCTGAACTTAAAAAGGGCGTTATGAGCTTAAAATGGTCAAAAAAAGTTCGGAACATGTAACCGGGGCGCTAACGCATGATGCGGGGGCATCTTAGAGGACAAGCCTAGAAAGGTGCAGGAGCCTGGGAGGAAGTGAAGATGCTAACGAATCCCGGATTCTGTCCTCCCTCGCTTGAAACTTAGTCCCATTATCAACACAAAAAGACGCTTTACGGTCTCTGAATGCATTGCCACTATAATGCCCTCTATATTGCGATAGCAACTAACTAGGTGTTTGAAACCCTTCGGGATTCTTCTAAAAACACTTCCCTCGGCAATTTACAGGCACGTCCTGCGATTCACCAGGCGAGTAAATTACGCATTTTGCAAGAAAGTAAACGTGCTTGTGCTATTTGGCCCACCAGTGGTGAAAGACAAGAAAAATTGCTGCAATCCCTCAAAATCGCATTGGGA